CTCGGTGGTTCTTGGCTCGAAACTTGTAGCGTACTTTTTTTGGGAGCCCGCCCACTTCCTGCTTGTTCGCCATGCCTTCCAGCCAGACAGCAGCTTGCAGCTCGATCTGAATTTTGGCAGTCAGGAAAGTCAAGATATGCAAGAGTGAGCTTCGACGCGCTGGTAGGCCTTGCCGCTGCGGCGGCCGCCGGCCTTGTGGCACCTGCTTTCGTCCCCGTTTTTGGAGGTGGACAGCGAAGCCTTTAAGAGTTGCAGCAGGCGCTAGGCTTGCCCCACAAGATGCATCGGATCTGTAACGCGGACACCTTGACCGAGCCAAAACATTTGGAACAACGTCGCTTGATTTGCTGTGCCTCTTGTCGAGGTGCGCGGGGAGCAACAGCTCCGCATTTGCGCGGCTCCACGGCAGCTGCAACAGGCGCAGCACTTCGTCTTGCTGAATTTCGTGTCCCAGCCCACGCAAGCAGTCAGTCCAAAGTCGGCCAAGCTACCAGGCTGCGGTGCCACCGGTGCAGTTGCTGGCGGGGCTGTTGCAGTGGCTGCGATTGCCTCGCTGCGGTCGGTGCGCCCGGCACGCACTGCGCAGAAGGCCGTTCTGTGAAGGGATTGGCATTGGCTGTGGGTGGTGAGCGAGCATGCCTCTACACTTCGGTAGGCTGCAGTTGAAGACCTAACGTGTGAGGCAGCTCGCCGCGACCTGGCGGTGGCCTACGAGGACTCTGGCATCGACCTCCTTGACAACGGCACCTTCGCTCAATGCAGTTTGCTAAGGCTAAGTGACACGCACAAGTTTCCACAGAAGCTTGTACTCAGGCAAGTTCGCGCAGGGCCTGGTGGGCGCCGAAGGTGCCTGGGGGCGCTTCGAGTTCGACCCCTTGGGCTTCTCCACGCGCTTTCGCTGAAGTAAGAGTGGCACAAAAGCAAATGCTGATGCCGTAGTTACCCTGATGTGCGGTGGGGTCGCAAAAGCCCAGAAAGTTTCGATTGATGCGCGGACTTCATATGTCCAGCCGAATGCCCTGCAGTAAGGAAGACGGAGGTTGTTCCCTACCTCCGTGAGGCTGGATGCATTAGACTCATTAGACGTGTAGGACCCGCTGCTCGCATTGTGCGTGAAGCATCTAAACCGGACAAACCACAAGGCTCAAAGGACCTCGAGTGTCTCGGAGGTCACGTCTTAGTCCTCTCGGCCATGCCTTCTCATGCCTTCTCACGATACTTTTTCTGAATGCTCCTATAGGCAGCAGCGCTTTAGGTCTCGCATGTCCCGTTTTCCGCTGACGGCACTGATGATGCAAGCACATGCTGTAGCAGGCAGAGTTGAAGCACGGCCGCATCGCGATGCTTGCATGGCTCGGCATGGTTGTTCCGGACCGCTCTGACAAAAGTTGCGACCTGAAGCTGGTAGGTTTGATTCACGGGGCTCGGTCGGTTTGGGATTGGAGGACGGGGGATATCATCTCTACCGTAGTCGCAAGCCTTTTGCCGGGGAAGGACTTCGTCCGCCTGCCGGGTGAGAAGTTCTCCTTCGAGGTCAAGCAGCGAAGCATTTCATGCAATGCAATGCAATGCAGTGCAATTATCTATCTATCGATCGATCAAGCATGTGCGATGTTAGCGATCGTTGTCAGGCGGTGCCAGTCTCCATCGATGCCCACGAGGCGTTCCGCGGCGCCACCGGTGTCAACGCGCAGATCTTGCTGCATGGATGCATCTGCGAAGAGCCAACTCTGATTTTTCGGGGCACGTTGCATGACGGGGCGTTTCGGTCAAGGTTCTGGATCAGCATCGTGGAGTTCTGCTGCGCAAAGAAGGTCTTCGAGTGGAACTCTCTCGAGGCGCACCCTACGCATCCCTGCGCTTGTTGCTTTTCTGGGCTTCGTGCGACTAGAAGCCACAGTGACAACGTGTCAGAGCATGTCAGGGTTGGTACTCGTGTGTACAGGTTGATGCAGCTTGCACGACCGGATGAATATCCGAAGATAATGCTTCCTAGCCAGGTCGCGGGCGACTATGGCCTGACCAACTGGTTCCCCAGCGATGAAGAGGGCCAGAAGAAGATGCGTCTGGCCGAGCTCAAGAACGGGCGCCGCTAGGCTCA